AATATTGCTTAGGGAGACTAATAATATGGACCTTCAAATAGTTTTAAAAAATTTTAAACTAAAATGAAAAGTTTTTATTCTAGCCAAAATAAAACAAATAAGAGTTTCTCCAAAAGAAACATCTCTTAGGAAATATTTGAAATATTAACAAAAATCATTTTAATTTCTACTGTATACAAAATGTATGTAAAATACAGAAAACAAACTGGCAAATGACAAATAGTGCCATAATAAAAGACATTTTATTATATGCATCATCTATTATATTATAATATCTGTGCATTTATAAATTAATCTGCAAACCTGAAAGCCATTTAAAATGAACAAGCGAATAGTTTTAAAATACCTTAAAAGAATAAGAAATGGGTAAAGATTCAAAATCATTATTTAAACTTTTTACAGCCCATATATATTTTATTCTAAAAGAATAATAATTAAATACAGTATACATCTGTAGAGCATATTTTAATATATGCAAAATATATACATTATATTTTTATTATTTTTTTATTTTCTAATTATTTCAGAATGCATGTTTTTAGATTTGTTTAATTGCAATTTTTTATTAATTATTTTATAAAAACAAGGAACATTTGAGGTCATATTAAATAAAATAAGATTAAATTAAATTAAATTAAATTAAATTAAATTAAATTAAATTAAATTAAATTAAATTAAATTAAATTAAATTAAATCAAATTAAATTAAATTAAATTAAAGGCCATTTCAAGGCCATTTAAGAATAACAAGTTAATGCTGCATGTTACAAGACTTTATATTTTTATATTTAAGACTTTATATTTATTATTATTCTCAATTCAATTATTACATTTTTGAGCATTTTAAAATCCTTTCCTTCATATTTATTTTCTTTCTATTTATTAAAAATACGAAAAATAAATATAAATATATCATTTTATTTCTGAATAAATAAATAAATACAACATTTATCACACATACAGTATTACATACACATGCAATATAGAAATAAAATAAAATTGAATTAAATTAAAATCTAAAATAAAACAAAAACGTACAAACATCACTTCCTTTTAACAATAATCTCCAATGACAAATATACAACATGACAAAACAATTAAGTAATTTTGGTATTGTCAGAATGCTGTATGCCGCATCCACAAATATCCTTTGTTTCTTTAACGTATTTATGTTTGAGATTTATACATTTGATTAATGTTTTTTTTTTTATCAAAAGTGACTTTAACGTTTTAATTCAAGCTTTAGAAGTTATCAGCTCATGCATTGTATTTACCGTCATCATGGCAAAGATAACACGCTGGGCATGGTTCGGATGGCCTATTGTGAGTACGCCCTAAGAGTAGCTACTGCAGTTCACGGCATGGCCACAGGTGTCGCTAAAAAGTAATTTAAAGATCAGAAAATATTTATAAAATAATGTTTTCGTGGAAGACAGTGGCTCAGTGGTTAGCATTGTCACCTCACACCAAGAAGGTTGCTGGTTCAAGTCCCAGCTGAGTCAGTTGGCCTGTGTTGGTGTGGGTTTCCTCCGGGTGCTCTGGTTTCCCCCACAGTCCAAACACGTGCGCTATAGGTCAATTGGATAAAACTAAATTGGCCGTAGTGTATGAGTTTGAATGAGTGTGTATGGGTGTTTCCCAGTACTGGGTTGCAGCTAAAAGGGAAACCGCTGTTTAAAACATATGTTGGGTAAGTTGGCGGTTCATTCTGCTGTGGCGACCCCTGACGAATATTTGGAATAAGCCGAAAGAAAATAAACGAATGAATGAAAATCTTCTCTCCGTTAAAAAGAAATTGCGGGAAAAAAAATATACAGGAGGGCTAATAATTCTGACTTCAACTGTGTGTGTGTGTGTGTGTGTGTGTGTGTGTGTGTGTGTGTGTGTGTGTATTACTCACTCTGGTCACATCGTGCTCCAGTAAATCCGGCCTCACAATGACAGCGTCCAGTCTGAGCATCACACACACCGTCAGCATTACGACAGTCACATACACTCTCACAGTCCAGACCCCAGCGGCCCGCGTCACACACTGAAACACACACACCCCCATATCTCCCCATTAAAATGTCATTCACATAATTACACTGAAACAGTGACGAAGCAAACACACCGCACCCTTCCTGCAGTTGTGTCCCGTCCAGCCTGGAGGACACGAGCAGCGTCCGCTTACAGGATTACAGCGAACTCCGAGATCACACACACATCTGAGCTGACAGCCCACACCGAAGCGACCCGCAGGACATGCTGGAGACACACACATGGGACATGTACAGATGAAGGTAGTGTGTAGAGAAATGATCAGCCACAAGTCTGTCCTTCTATTAGTATTCAAACGTATGCTGATGTGGTGGCACAGTGGCTCAGTGGTTAGAACTGTCGCCTCACAGCAAGAAGGTCGCTGGTTCGAGCCTCGTTTGGGTAAGTTATCATTTCTATGTGATGTTTGCATGTTCTCCCTGTGTTGGTGTGGGTTTCCTCCGGGTGCTCTGGTTTCCCCCACAGTCCAAACACATGCGCTATAGGTCAATTGGATAAAACTAAATTGGCCGTAGTGTATAAGTTTGAATGAGTGTGTATGGGTGTTTCCCAGTGTTGGGTTGCAGCTGGAAGGGCATCCACTGTGTATAACATTCATTCATTCATTTTCTTGTCGGCTTAGTCCCTTTATTAATCCGGGGTCGCCACAGCGGAATGAACCGCCAACTCATCCAGCAAGTTTTTACGCAGCGGATGCCCTTTCAGCCGCAACCCATCTCTGGGAAACATCCACACACACACTCATACACTACGGACAATTTAGCCAACCCAATTCACCTGTACCGCATGTCTTTGGACTGTGGGGGAAACCAGAGCACCCGGAGGAAACCCACGCGAAGGCAGGGAGAACATGCAAACTCCACACAGAAACAGCAACTGAGCCGAGGTTCGAACCAGCAACCTTCTTGCTGTGAGGCAACAGCACTACCTACTGCGCCACTGCCTCGCCCTGTGTATAACATATGCTGGATGAGTTGGCGGTTCATTCTGCTGTGGTGACCCCTGTTAAGCAAAGGTCTAAGCCGAAAAAATTTATAAATGAATCTACTTACAGTTCTGACACAATCTGCCGATGAATCCAGGAGAACACACACATGTGCCGTTACGCCGGTCACAGCGGCCTCCGTTCTCGCACACCGGACACCATTCCTGACAGCCCAGACCCCAGCGGCCCTCAGGACACTCTGATGGACACACACAAACACACACCTCACAAACAGCTCTGTATCTTTATACAGTTGAAGTCAAAATTATTCTGAGAAATCATCAACATTTGCCGTTGTGTGTTGTGAATACGTGCCCTCTAGTGGACAAAATTACACCCTGCGCCTTTAAACAATAATTACCCTATTATCATAAACATTAAGGGCCCTATCATACACCCGGCGCAGTGTGGCGCAAGGCGTGACGCTGTAGTCTTTTGGTAGTTTCAGCTTGGCGCAAGAGTTGTTTTGAGGCGTTGCGCTACGCTGTTTAAATAGTAAATGCATTTGCGCTTATTTGTGCGCCCATAGGCGTTCTGGTCTAAAAAGGAAGCGTTCTGAGGCGGACCGCTGGCGCGTTGCTATTTTGAGAAACTATAATAGATTTTTCATTAGACCAAAACAAACCCGGTCTAAACTCCGGCGCAGAGTTGCGCCTCGCTTACACACTGCTTAATACACACAAGAGAGCAACAGGCAAATATCTTTACATATGAAAAAATGTAAATATTAAGAATATATATAGGATATAATAAGAATATATATAGAATATAAATATAAAGGATTAAAATATTACAAAACATTTTATTTTCTAGCCTACATAAATATGAAAAATCACTGCTTTTATGTCTTCTTCATCTCTGGGGGCTTTTTCAGTTTATTCATAACAATTTACTTTTGTATAATGTTATTATTATTAGCAGTATTATTTATTATATCCATATTTATATTTGTTTTATTAAAAACAAGCTTAGATTTGCCCACCTGTCAGGTTTTAGACTATATGGGGCACAGCATGTGTTTTAGGAAATAACTCAGGTTTTGAGCACACTTTGTTATTATTGTTCATTTATTCGTTTGCTGGAAATTAGAACTGAATTTAGAAACAGTTTTGAAACGAATATTTGTGCTTAACAAATGAAATAATTTATTTATAGACTAATTGATGTCTGTGCGTAAAGGTTTCCCTATCCAGGAGCGAATGTGAAAGTAGATCCATTATCTCTCATTCTCACGCAGTAGATGCTCTGTTTAACAGTTTTCTGTTAAAACACTGTTAACTGTTTGCTTGTGAAATGCTCATTTTTTCCACTTAGACTTACTTTGCGTCTTGTAAATAGCGAATGCGCTCTTGGCGTGACGCAGCTGGCTCTTAAAGGGAATGGGAGATGAGACTCTGATTGGTTTATTCTTAAAACACACCTGTAACTCATTAAGAAAATAAACTCAACCCTTTTAGACCATAGATTTTCCCGTCCTTAAATTAGCAAAAAGGCGTCCTGACACGCCCTAAAAGCGTTTGCGCCCTGCGTTTTGCGCTTTGCGCATGGACCGCAAGCCCTAAATGTCACACAGCCCTAATTCAGTACAAGATAATTGTGACATGCAGACATCAATATAATCATTTTACCTTTTTCACAGCGCTTTCCAAACGTTCCAGCAGGACACGTGCATTGACCAGTCACTTTGTCACATGGTGCGCCAGAGCAGTCACAAGACTGAGAGCATCCAATCCCAAATCTCCCTTCCACACAATCTATCAAAGTAATAGGAAAACATCCAGTGTGCTTCGACAAACATCCAAACAATTTAGATAATGAACTACAGACACGTTGTGTATGAGTACTCTGAAAAACCTTGGTCACATTTGTCGCCTGTTTTTCCAGCTGGACATTTGGGTTGACAAGCTCCAGTCACATGATCACAGGTCACTCCAGGCGGACAAGAGCATTTATTCTCACAAGCAGAGCCAAAAAACCCTGATTCACACTCTATTAGGGGGACAAAATAACAGAGATCATATATTTTTAGATAGTTTAGATACATTCAGAGCAAACTTTAAAAAGGTGTAGGTTTAAAATGAATAAGACAACAATGCTACACTGACAACATTTTTTTAATTGCATTTTTCTTCTTCTTTTTATTTCTTTATTAATCATTTTTTATTCTTCTCGTATTTTATTAACCTCCAAGGGCAGAACATTTTTAGCTCTTAAGTGGCTATTTAAATGTTTTTAAATGAATGTTTTATATTCTGTTACAGACATACAGTGTGGTCCTGCAACTGTTTTGCAGCATATGAAATGTCCCAAAAACTATTTTAACAGTCCAAAATGGGGAGAAAATTTTGTTTTATACTCTCTGGTAATAAAAATTTTAAAAAATTAGTTATTCAAACTAATGTGTTGAAAAAAAAACTCTCTGTTAAACAGCACTTGGAAAATATTATAATCTTTCCTTTCACTGTATATTCATGATGGGTGAAATGAAGTCATGATGAAAACTAAAGTAGTAAATGTCATATTTCCCACATTTATTACGGGCATCAGCCATGAAAGGCAGTATTTGAAATATGGACTTTATTGCCAGTTGTTTTTTACTTTGTTACTTTCTCCCAACCTTGTATTATATTAAATTGCTGTACATAAACAATCATTTATTATATTTTATAGATTGCATGTTAGCAGGTTTGCATTTTATGACAACATTTTAAGGCAAATTCTTTTATGCAGTGAAAATTCAAATGTATGCAGTGAAAATAACAAATTCTTATGTAATATCATCTTGAATAAACAATACGTAAACGGACCGTCTTTGCAGGTGTGGCCTCTGTATCCAGGTTTGCAGATGCAGTCTCCATGATGACGGTGACACTCTATAGTGTTCTGCTGGACACACTGACACTCTTCTGAACAACCGGGACCAAACATCCACTTCGGACACGCTGAACACAAAAGTGTGGAAAATGAAAGGTTGTAAATGAGAGGTTATAAAAGGTGGAAATCATGCGCAGAAAACAAGCATTTAATGTGTATGGCAGAAAGTAAATTGACCAATACCCAAAGCATTAAGTAGGAATTGTGTGTGCGCAAAACAAACAAAAGCTAACGCATTTTCAGGTGCATAAAACAAAAAGTATTAGCATGCATAAAAAGTATTCCAAACATAAGCAGACTAGCACACAAAATCTAAATTAAAGTATGTATTTACATAATGTATGTGCATGTACTGTGAATATTTAACATGCATATATAAATACACACACATAAATAAATAAATAAATAAATAAATAAACACACATAAATAAATAAATAAATAAATAAATAAACCCACATAAATAAATAAATAAATAAATAAACACACATAAATAAATAAACTCACATAAATAAATAAATAAATAAATAAATAAATAAACACATATAAATAAATAAACACACATAAATAAATAAATAAACACATAAATAAATAAATAAATAAATAAATAAATAAATAAATAAATAAATAAATAAATAAATAAATAAATAAACACATATAAATAAATAAATAAATAAACAAACATACATAAATAAATAAATACACACATAAATTAATAAATAAACACACAAAAATTAATAAATAAATAAATGAATGAATAAATAAATAAACACATATAAATACATACATACATAAATAAATAAATAAATAAACACACATAAATAAATAAATAAACACACATAAATAAATAAATAAATAAATAAATAAATAAATAAATAAATAAACACACATAAATAAATAAATAAATAAATAAATAAATAAATAAATAAATAAATAAATAAATAAATAAAATAAATAAATGAATAAACAAATAAACACACATAAATAAATAAATAAATAAACACATATAAATAAATAAACAAACACACATTAATATAAAAACTAAAAAAATAAACAAACATAAATAAATAAATAAACACAAATAAATAAATAAATAAACACACATAAATAAATAAACACACATAAATAAATAAATGAATAAATAAATAAATAAATAAATAAATAAATAAATAAATAAATAAACACATAAATAAATAAACACACATTAATATAAAAAATAAATAAATAAATAAACACACATAAATAAATAAATAAACACAAATAAATAAATAAACACAAATAAATAAAAAAATAAAAAATAAACACAAATAAATAAATAAATAAATAAATAAACAAACAAACAAATAAATAAAATGCAACATCACTAACTAAAGGAATTTTCATGTTGAAGGCATTATAGAACACCAAGCATAGTGTACTCACGAAGGTGGCAGAATCGTCCATACAGTCCCGGGTCACACAAACACGCTCCATAAGTGCGATGACAACGTCCGTTATTAGCGCAGTTACACCTTTTATTGCAAAACTTCCCATAGAGACCCTTCGGACAGCCTGAAATGAGTAAATATGACATGGTTTATAATATTTTATATATTCTAATTATTTTATTAGTGTTAGAATACATTAAATATGATATATAATAGTGGAATATTATTATTAAAATACAATAATTATTATAAATAATAGTGGTATTTTAGTGTTAAAGGCAATACATATTATATCATACTGGTGTAATAACTGTGGAATATTAGTGTTAGAATGCAATGAATATTATATAATAGAGGTATATTAGTGTATGAATGTAATAAAATTGATATAATAGTGGTATATTAGTGTTAGAATACATTAAATATGATATATAATAGTGGTATATCAGTGTTTTTTCTCTGTGTTGATGTGAACTGACCGTCCTGACACAGCTCTCCACTGACCCCTGGTGGACAGCGACAGCTCCCGGACACCGGATCACACACACCACCGTTCTTACACTTACACAACAGTGAGCAATTCCTGCCAAACCAACCCTCAGGGCATGCTGGAGGACACACACACACACATACATACACAGATGACCACACACACATCCACATACACACACATATAGACACAGTGCACACAAACACACACACATGCACGCACGCAGACACACACACACACATACAACAAGGTCAGAAAATTTTAAAGACATAAGGAACAGTAAACATATACTAATGCTAGACAGCATATGTCATATTTAATACAGATTTTTGTGTGTCTCTTTAAATGCAAATGAGCTGCAGCTCATGAAGAGGGCGGAGCCTTTACAGCTAATAACTCAGGTACTCTGAAACAACAATCAAAACGGCAGAAAAAAGCATCGTTTTGCTCAGTTTTGGACTTCTGAATAACATCTAGCTGATTTTCTTACAAAGTATACTACGAGATAAAAAAAAAACTGATGTGATTTTTTTTTTAAATACAATAAAACTAAACAATATTTATCTGAGATAGAATTATTCGAGAATCTTTAATCTAAGGGTTAAAAAAAATCTAAATATTGAGAAAACCGTCTTCAAACTTGTCCAAGTTAAGTTCTAAGCACAACATATTACTAATATGACATAACAATTTGACATTGTTGTGATAGGAAATTTACTAAAATGTCTTCATGGAACTTATTGATCTTTATTGATGTTTTATTAAGGTTACGGGGGAAAAAAATTGCTGAATTTTGATATTAATATTGATACGAGTTAGCCCTAAAACAAAAAGTACGAATTGCCTTGAGATAGCGTTGAATAGTAATAAGCGAAGCTGAAGGTGCAGCTTGTGAAGTTATTTGATGATCCTTTTAAGATTTAAAGCAGGGGTCACCAATCTCGGTCCTGGAGGGCCGGTGTCCCTCAGCGGCGGACTGGCCATCTGGCAATTCTGGACCAATTTTTAAATGTGGGCCAGTCAGATTTTTTTTTTTTTATATATGTATTGTTTTTACGTGTAGGCAGCTTTTATCTCTTGCTAGATGTGATATTATGATGTTGATTTAAAAAATAAATAAATAAATAAATAAATAAAATAAAATAAATAATAATAATAATAATAAATGTTAAGCATTTGGCCCAATCGGCGACAGCCGCCTGATTTCAAGATTGGCCGACCCAATCCGAGGTCACCCGGACGTTATCAAAATCTGGCAAGAATGTCATATTATTTTACCATCTGTACACCAAAATAAATACTGAATGTGCTTGTCCGTGGGGCTGTGTCGGTGTGGTAATGTGGGCTGATGTGGCTACAGTGCCAGGGCTGAATTTTTGTCCCAGTCCACCCCTGGTGTCCCTGCAGGCTTTAGCTCCAACTTGCTTCAACACAACTGCCTGGATGTATCAAGTATACCTAGTAAGACCTTGATTAGCTTGTTCAGGTGTGTTTGATTAGGGTTGGAGCTAAAATCTGCAGGACACCGGCCCTCCAGGAGCAAGTTTGGTGACCACTGATTTAAAGTATCAAAGGCTGTTACTGAAGTAATGTCACGGTCCCACTGGAGTTTGTGCATGCAAAATTCTTTATTTAATATTGTAATGATTTTTGGCATAAAAGAAAAGCAGGTTTTGACTCAATACAGTGCATAATCTGCTCTACCAGCCTGTGCATCTTAAAGAGATAGATTCCCTAATAATAAACATTTCCTATTCATTTACTCATCCGCAGGTCATCCAAGATGGTCATCAACTTAAGCTCTTTAGACCATGCTCCTGACCGTTACTCAGTGTTTCGCCGCAATATCTTTAAATAAATTATTTATTTAGGCCTATTTTTATTATTCATTTATTTTCATTATTCGTTTATTATTATGTACAATAATTCAGACATAAAATAATATAGTAAAATATAATCAACAACAAAAATGTAATGCTATGTACAATCGCTCCAATTGGTCCAACGTTTTTATGTTGCTAAATAAAAAAAAAGGACTGTGTGTGTTTATTTCACCCCAATATGACAGTATATACTAGGGTTGGGCATCTAAGCTATAATGCCGATCCGATACGCATCTCGATACAAAGAATACGATCCGATATATTAGCGATACATTTGTGACATATTGCGATGCAACACGATACGATTCACACCCATATCACGATACAATGCGATATTTCAGCACTAACTAATTAGATCAAGTTTATGAGATGATGTGAAAGAGGATGCTGTGCCATTGAATGAGTTTGATTATTTATAAACCAAGCAAAACCAAGACTTTTTTACAAACTGGCTCTTATCTCAGAGCCAGAGGGTCAGTTTACAGTAGAGGGCCATTTTAGAACATATAGCACATATTATTTAAGTATTTTCAAGATAAACAGAATGTATAAGTGCAATATATATTAAAAAAAAAAATATATATATATATATATATATATATATATTTGCACTCTTTCAACATAAAGGTTTAGCATTGCACAACAAGAATTGTGATTTAACTTTTCAACTATGAAAACAAGTTTTACAAAGATATTTTGCCACTGAATATTCAAAACTTAAGGTGGTGAACTAGCAGTGTTATGCTGCTTAGAAACATCACTGTCACTGTAAACAACAGGCTAATAAAAATATAACAAACCAGCAATCTTCTTGCTGTGAGGTGGTCAAACTACCCACTGTGCCACCGTGACACCCAGTATTTTTATCATTATTATTATTAATATTATTATTATTATTATTATTATTATAATTAAATAAAAATTAACAGGAGGAGGTGTTTAAAACCTTTGTTCTCCGTGACACTAGGCTGAATATCTTTGCAGATGAACAATGCAATAGCATTCGTTATTGGCGTAGAGCGCACAAAACTGTTGCGCACGGAAAAAAAAACTTGCAATACTTTTCTCACCACTTTTGGAGCTGGTTGAAGCAGTGCGAAAGCCGGGGATGCAGGAACACTGGAAGATGCTTTCACAACAGCACCGTGGCGCCGCTTCAAGTGAGATTTCAGATTAGTCGTACTGCCCGCGTATTTTACAGATGCGCGGCACATTTTGCAAATTGCATCTGTCCTGTCATGTCGTCCATCCTTAAATCCATAATGTTGCCATACTTTAGATTTAAAACTCAGTGGGGAATAAAATGTTTGTTTTGCTTCTTGCGCTTTCTGAGGGCGCACCACTAGCTTCATCCGCACACCTGATACACTGAGTTGTAGTGTACACATCCGCAAATCCGTTGCTAAGGCTTACTTTATGTAGGTCGATTAAATTATGCGCCAAAAACAGGTTGACAACACTTGTTAATAAATAAAAAATACATTCTATATTAAAAATATAAGCTGTATCTCGGAAAAATCGATGCATCTCGCAAAAACCGATGCATCTCGATTTGCTTCCAAAATTTCATTCATCCTCTGCTGCTCAACCGATGCACTCGCATCGTGCACGCGCATGACCGCGTATCGATACATATCGGTTAATCTTCCCATCCCTAGTATATACACTATACTTACAAACATGTTTGTCCAAACAGCTTGAAAAGTAGATTTTTCACCATAGGTGCCCTTTAACAGGAACTGTTCATTTTTGGGTGAACTATCCTGTTAAGATGTTGTGGTCCAGGTTCACATTTCTAAATGAAACCATTTATAGCATCATGGCAAACTCACTCTCATTACAGACGACTCCAGTCCATCCGTCAGGACAGTCACAGGCATTTCTGTGTTTGTTACACACTCCTCCGTTCACACAGTCCTCACAGGACAGACTGCAGTCAACGCCGAACGAATCGTTCAAACAAACTGCACACAACAAATGATAAGGTAAGGGCAGTTTGCATTGTGATGAATATTCCTCAGTAAATGAAATCCCAGCAGTGTTACAGAACAGAAGGAAAGGGTTTCTCACTGAATTTCTCAGCTAAAGTGCTCTCGGCACGCAGTTCTCCAGTGTCGTCCTCGTAGTCCTCGTATTTCTCCAGGATCTGATCGAAGTCCTGCAGGATGGTGAGCTGAGGTCCTGGTCCAGGTTTATTGACTGTCTGACCGCTGCTCAACGCCTCCACTGACTCCTCCATCACTGACACACACACAGGTTTGTTTGTTTTTGTGAATTGTGGGGACATTCCATTGTTTTCAATTGTTTTTATACTGTACAATTTTTTTACACTAGGAAAAGGTTTTCCTTTCTGAGGTTTTACTGTCTGATTTTGCTTTACTTTCTGAAAATAAAACTAATTCTGTATGATTTATAGACCTCTTAAAAAAATCAGGAACGTCCTCATAATCCAACATCTACTTGTAACACCTGACCCATGACATTAGCCCCTTTCACACATACAGACCTTTCCGGAAAATTACCGGCAATTTTCCGGAAAGGTGTGTATGTGTGAACAGGTCCTTTTTGAAAATACTGGTAAATTCGTTCTGGCTATTTTCCGGAAAGAGAAGTTGTAACATTACCGGTAATTTGCAGAAATGCTGCGCTGTGTGAATGCAGAAGGAAGATTGCCGGAAAGTGTGCGTGCACGTCTAGAACGTGCTGATGTGAGACGTCTACTTCAACCAATCAGAACAGTCAAACGCATTCACGTCCACGCGGTTTATGAGAATAAAAGCCTTTGAATATTATGCCAGATGCATTTAGCTGCTAGAAGTTAATCAGATAATGTTTATACAGTATGTTATCTTAATGCCAATTGTGTAAATAATTATCGATGAGATGCTTATGGTAAGCCGCTGTTTGTTTCCCTTCAAGTTTTGCGTGTGCCTGTGAAACAGCCTGTGAGCGCCAGCACACACACATATCATGTACATCTCGACATGCGAAAGTGATCCTCCATATGTTTTCATCGAAGTTGTTCACAATATTGATCATCCAAAGAGTTTGTAATGTAGTCAAATGTTTACAAATACAAGCGCAGCCGTTTAAAGCTCATTTGTGGTGAATGATGTCAGAATTTACCGGTATTTTGGAATGAATGTGTGAATGCTCTTTTCTGGAAAAATTCCGTAACGTCCTCGCCTGTGTGAACAGCGCTTTTTTGAATCTACCGGTAAAGTCGTTCCGGAAATTTTCCGGTTATTTTTCCGGTATCACTGTGTGAAAGGGGCTATTATACACATTTATGTCTTGATATGTCATAAACAAACACATCCACACAGGTTTATTTTAGTGAATTGTGGGGACATTCCGTAGGTTTCTATTGTTTTTACCTTTTTACTGTCTGATTTGGTTTTACTTTCTGAAAATAAAACTAATTCTGTATGATTTATAGAGCTCTTGAAAAATCAGGAACGTCCTCATAATCCAACATCTACTTGTAACACCTGTCCTACCTATTCATACCCATGACATTATACACATTTATGTCTTGATATGTCATAAACAAACACATCCACACACACACACACACATGCATGCATGCAACCACACACACACAGGTTTGTTTTAGTGAATTGTGGGGACATTCCGTAGGTTTCTATTGTTTTTACCTTTTTACTGTCTGATTTGGTTTTACTTTCTGAAAATAAAATTAATTCTGTATGATTTATACACCTCTTGAAAAATCAGGAACGTCCTCATAATCCAACATGTACTTGTGACACCTGACCCATGACATTATACACATTTATGTATTGATATATCATAACCACACACATCCACACACTCAAACATGCATGCAAACACACACACACACACACACACACACACACACACACACACACACACACAGGTTTATTTTAGTGAATTGTGGGGACATTCCATAGGTTTCTATTGTTTTTATCTTTTTACTGTCTGATTTGGTTTTACTTTCTGAAAATAAAACTAATTCTGTATGATTTATAGACCTCTTGAAAAATCAGGAATGTCCGCATAATCCAACATGTACTTGTAACACCTGTCCTACCTATTCATACTCATGACATTATACACATTTATGTCTTGATATGTCATAAACACACACATCCACACACGCACACACACACACACACACACAGGTTTATTTTAGTGAATTGTGGGGACATTCCGTAGGTTTCTATTGTTTTTATTGTTTTACTTTCTGAATTTTTTTACTTTCTAAAATTTCTTTAGAATTCTTTCTGAATTTTTTTACTTTCTTTTGAAAAATGGAGACATCAGAAATGTTCTTACAATCGAACATCTCCTTCTAATACATGTGTCATACCCATGACATTATACACATTTGAGTCTTGGTATGCCATAAGCACACACACATCCACAAACGCTCACACACACACACACACACACACACACACACACACACACACACACACACACACACACACACACACAACTACTTCAAGATGGGAATTTAAATAAATCTACTACATGAACTTTACTGTAATATTTACATACTTAAATGTTTAAAAAATTAAATTTATGATTAAATTTGAGTAAAAAACTTTTTTCAATATTTCTCTGTCAAATCTTTTAGTCCCATATTTTGGCATAATTCAGCTTGTCAGAAATGTTTTACATTGGTTTAAATGACAAAGTATATTTATAATTGAAATTAGGAATAAAAACTGTACATTGATTACATTTTAAAGTGTAAAATATTAACATTTAATAATCTTTTTTGACATTCAACTTTCTTGTAGAATAATATAAACTAAACTTCAACCATATATGTGAAAGCTGGGTGACAAGGCTTAAATGTTTACAATTTTGACTGTTTAAATTACTGAAAAATAGCAAACTGTATTTGCATGTTCATAAAAATTCTATTTAAGTTATTTTTGATTACTTAAGATGAATTAAACATATAATATGAATGTAAAATAAATACTTTTTTTATGTCTGTCTGCTTAAATACAGATATTTATTTGGCATTTGACAACAAGAAAATAACACCAATTACAATTGGAAATGTGCAAACTGCCTAAATGTGCTGTTGTTGACTACTTAAATGCTTATTAGATGTCAAAGTGTATAATATAAAACTAACATAATATAAATTCCTCAGTTTGAAGCTGTAAACTCACGTATGCAGGATCTTCTGTCCTCATCGAGTCGATATCCACGTCTACAGGAACACTGGAAAGAGCCGGCGCTGTTCAGACAAGCATGATCACATCCTCCATTAACAGCCAAACACTCATCTATATCTGAAACAACAGCATTTAGACAATACAATTAATCAGATCAGATCAAAACGTACGCAATTCTGTTTTAACTTAGAACAGTTAAGTTCACTTAACTTATCATTTTAAAGATGCCATGAAATTAAAAGTTTTTTAGATGTTAGTATCAGTATTGTTAGCTTTTAAGATATTTGTGTGCTCCAAAGCAGTGACAAAATTCACAATTAGAAGATATAAAACTAATCTACCCCAATATAGATGAAACATGCGATCGTTGCAACTTGTGCAAGGCAGACCTAACCCATATGTTCTGGTCATGTGACAAACTGAGACGATTTTGGTCTTCAATATTTGAAATTTTAAACTCAGCCTTCAATTTAAGAATTCAACCAAATCCGGAAATGGCTATTTTTGGAGTAACAAATGAGGACATCCATGTAGCTAAAGAAATAGAAAACGCCTTTGCCTTTGTAACATTAATAGCTAGAAGAAGAATTCTTATGGAGTGGAAATCACCAATGCCACCTAAACTGTCACTTTGGCTTAGTGATGTAATGCTATTTTTGAAAACAGAAAAAATTTTATATTTTCTCAGAGGATCAACCAAAACATTTTTCAAAACATGGGACCCTCTAATAATTCATATTGAGACTAATGTACTCCTCCAACCATAAATTCCCAACCCCACCCCCACCCACCTTTTTTATTTTTATTTTTTATTAATTAAATTTTTATTTATTATTATTTTTTTATTATTTATTTATTTATTTATTTTCTGTAAATTTATTTTATTTTCATTTTTATTATTATTAATATATTTTTTATTTAATGCATTTCCGTTTCATAATTTTTTTTTATTATGTTAATTTGTCTTTTTTTTTTTTCAATTTATGTATGGTTCAAAAAAAGAAAAAACGAAAATACCTTTGTAATTGAATACCTTTAATGTACTGTACCTTTTGTCAAAAACACAATAAAAAAAAACTGATATAAACATGTAAGGCTTGGTGTTTGTCACTTGCGCCTATATGTATCAACGTTTTGTTTTACGTCACCTCATACTTAAGTTTCTCATCAAATCGTAACCAATCAAATGCTCTCTAGTATCTGACATGCACTGCCACCTTCAAGAAGCTTCTCATTTGATGCGCTTGAGCTCAACTGGTCTCACTGGCAGACAGGGCCGCAGTGGGACTCCTTTTCAGCCCTGGGGCCTCATGTACGAAGACTTGCATGGAAATCATACTAAAACATTGCGTACACACAAAGCTGTAAAAGTGCGTACGCAGAAAAAAATTCAGATGTATGAAACACTGCGTACGCCGAATCTCACGCATATTCTTTTGTACATCTGAATGAACGTGAAACTAAGCGTAACATGCACATGCACAAAACCCTTCCCTGGCTCCTCCCCCGTATGAATATGCTAATGACTATGCTAATGGCAAAACTCAACGAAAAAGCAATGACAAAATCACGCAAAAAGAGAAACTTTGAACAGAATGTGAATTGGAGGTGCTGCTTTTGGAGGTAGACCGGAGAAAAGCGGTGTTATTTGCAAGTTTGTTCTCCGGAATTAACAACAAAAGAAAAAACTAGTGTGGTTTATAGGAGTAAAATGTTGCAATACTCGTAACAGTCTCAGTGGCGCAGCTCATAAAGCGCATGTCAACATGTTTTGACACGTTCGAGCATGAACTCGGTTCGAATCTAGCATCTGATGAACTCTTTCTTCTTTTTTCCCCCGCTACATATCAGATTTTGCCAACTATTTATCACGAGAAAGACAAGTAGGAATCGATAAGTTTGTGCATCATATTTTATTTGCACATTTATAGAATGGAAATGTTTCTGATTCACGCATGCAAATTCATCTTTAGATAGTGTCTTTATAGCAATGTTCGTGCAGTAGATCGCTCAGATTACATTGGGAAAACAGGCGACCGCTGCAAATTGTGCTTTAATGTTTAGCTGGTCAACTGTATGGTATGGAAACCTTATATACCTGCTGAACCCGTCTCATACAGCTGCCATTGCAAGGCTCAGACACTTTGTAGAGAGGAATTTAACACAACTGCCTCTAGGAGTCGCCAATGGAAATAAAACAGACACGCACAAAAAATATGCGTACGCCAGCCATAAAGCTGCCGTGAAGGTGCGCACATTCCCACGTTCAGTTCATTGTTAGTAAATCCAAACGTGAGCGATTCTGAGCGTGAAACCTGGCGTACGCAAAGTTTTTGTGCGTACGCAGCGTTGATACATGAGGCCCCTGGAGTTTCAAGCCTTAGACCGGTCCACCTCAGTTCACGACTGACTATATTAAAATAACGTCATTTTGAATTCAGTTTCTAATGACACGATCACGTATTTTTCAAGAAAACAGCTGCTTTATAAGTTGAAATGTTCAACAACCCAAACAGTATTATATGTCTTCACAATAAAAATGAAATTAAATAAATAAATAAATTCAATCAGATAGGTAAGGATCAAACTCGGGTCCTGCAGTGTGGTAACACAACGTGCTGACCACTGGACCACAATGGCGCTGTTGTTAAAAACTTGTCTATTGACGACTTAATCTTTTTCTCCCCTTTCTAGATTTCTGATCAATTTATGTCAGATTTATTAATGTAGTGAATCATCTGATTTTCATTGAGCAGGTGTTGTAGGAGCATACATTGTATTTTGGCTATTGGCCACAAGGTGTCAGTAGGAGACTATATACAGGTAAGTGTGGCTTCACTGCATGGAGTAAGACAGTGTTGGTAGGAAGCCCACAGTTTTTGACCGTATCGTCTTGACTTGTAACTGAACGTCTCGTCTTGTAACTAAGCGTAACTCAAGGTAACAGACAAGTGTGCATATAGATTAAGGAAGTGATTGAGTAGTTCTGTTGATTGGAAGTTGATTGGTAAATAAAGACGTTTTTATTTGCATCTATTTGCCTACGGACTCTGACTTTTACGCGTTAAAAACTTGCTCACTCTACCAACATTAGCGGCATTGGAAAGCCGCTACAGGTGTAATATTCATTAATTATTCGAATTCTTATATTCACTAAGGTGCCGCGTTTGGGGTCGAATAATAGTTACATCTTCATTAACCTGTGGGCTGCATTTTGCTCACGGGGCTGCGAGAAGAAAAATTTAAAAGCGCGAAGCTGCGGCAAAATAATGAATAAAAAGAGTGAGACTATGGTCAAATAAATAAAACATTTTTTAAAGTGCGACTGCTGAGAGCGCAAGCAGCTAGGGACACAGGCCCTCGCGGCCAAAAAAACGGAGCGGCCCCCCGGGTATTCTCCCGGTCCTCCCAATTAGCCAATCCGGGCCTGCTGGCAGAGCTGTGATAAAACAAAACACTATTAGCTGATTTAAAAAGGGGAGGAGCTACACTATGTCCCACCCTCTCTTCATTTTTCGGTTGAGATTATGTCAAACATCGAATAAAAATGCACATTTCAAAGCACTTCACATGACCTTTATAGACAATATATTGCTTTTACAGTGTAGTTTCACTTTTGTCAGTGTATATACAGTAGAGAAAAACTCTGGAACATATTTCTAAACAACAAAACATATATATATATTTCATTTCAACTAAAGAACAAAAGTAATGAGCTTCTCTTAAAATCTGGCCTGGTGAGTTTATGTGTGTTACCATCACAGCTGCATCCGTCAGTGTTCAGTCGATATCCGGCTGTACAGTAACACTCGTATCCTCCAGGATAGTTCGTACAGTCATGTTCACAACACGAGCTGCCGTCGACACACTCGTTTATATCTGACAGGAGAGAATACACACACCTTCAGCTAACAGCATTACTGTGCATTCAGTTGAAGTCAGAATGATTAGCCCTCCTGAATTATTAGCCCCCCTGTAAATTTTCCCCAATTTCTATTTAACGGAGAGAAGATTTCTTCAACACATTTCTAAACATAAAAGTTTTAATAAAGAATCTCTAATAAATTATTTAATTTATTTTTGCCATGACATGATGACAGTAAATAATATTTGACTAGATATTTTTCAAGACACTTCTATACAGCTTAAAGTGACATTTAAAGGCTCATTTAGGTTAATTAAGTTAAAGTTAAGGTAATTAGGCAAGTCATTGTATAACGATTGTTTGTTCTGTAGACCTTTGAAAAAACAATATAGCTTAAGCTATAATATTGACCTTAAAAAGTTTTTTTAAAAATTAAAAAATGCTTTTATTTTAGCCAAAATAAAACAAATGAGAAAAAATATTATAGGAAATACTGTGAAACATGCCTTGCATGAACAAAAATTTGCAAAAACAAATTCACAGGAGGGTGACTGATTCTGACTTCAACTGTATAGAACAGGAAATGGTGATCAGTGTCTCCTGTACCGACGCAGGTCTTGTGGTCGTGGTCCAGCTGATATCCTTCATTACAGCTGCACAGCGGACCAGCGGTCGAATGTTCACAGTGATGAGAACAACCACCATTATCATGATCACAGCTGTTCACGATCTCCATCTCAATACCTGAACCACAAAAACAAACACAGGCAGTGCATTAGGGCTTAAATTGTTTAATTAAGTGTACAATATTATCTGCTAAAAATTTTTTGTATAGTAACATTAAATACAAGCTAATTTTAAGTTAAAACAAGCATATTATATATAAGAATTTAGTAAATATATATATATATATATAAAAATAATATTATATATATATATATATATATATACTAAATTCACTAATTATATATATATATATATATATATATATATATATATAGTGCTTGCTTTACAAGAGATTTAGCTTGTATTTAATGTTACAATGCAAAAAAATCAATACATACACACACATTATACAACTGTGTATTAATAATTTTTAATTAATATCAAAATTTAAATAATAAATAAAAATGTGTCATTAGTGGTTAGTATCAATATAAAACTAATACAATCAAAATTATTATTTATAATATTTTTATTAAATACATAAATTCTATAATCATTGTAATTTATTGTATATGCAGTTTAGAGCTAATAGTTTCCAGCATTTTTTTTTAAATATTGCATATTTGCATTATATAATATTATTATGATTGTATAACTCATTTAATATTAATATCAATATTCAAACATCAATATTTAAATTCAGACATTTTTACATTAAAAATATGTAAATCGAGTGAATCTTTTTTTTTTTTCAGTGTATGTGAGTCTCTCAGCTCATACTCACGATAGCACTGTTTACCGTCCACCCCGAGCTCATAGGCAGCAGAACACACACACATGAAGGATCCTCTGGTGTTACGACAGCCATGAGCACAGTCCGTCTGACCCAACGCACACTCATCAATGTCTGATGCACCAAAAACACACAGCATAAACACATCCAATTTCAAAAACACAAGACATTAATATGAGCAGTGTAACACTGAGAACTCTCTGTGATCTTAAAATATAAGACAGGCAGGTGTATTTTACCTTCACATGTCTTGCCGTCTTCAGCGAGCTGATAACCTGGATGACATTCACAGCGGGCCTGAGCTCCATCCCTATGACACATCTGAGAACATCCGCCATTCTGCTCCGCACACGGGTTCACCACTGATGATGGTCAATACAGGATATCAGGTATTAAAGTACACATGATATCAAAACTAACCATATTGATTTTTTTCAGCTCATTTTGCTAGTTTAGTGGTTTTTGTGTTTTTGTTTATTGTTTCAGGGAGCTTGTGTTATTGGCCTTGCTTACGATGAAGATTTCAGTTTCTTTTTCACATTTTGATTTTCATTAGTAAGTTTATGGCGAGGAAGTGGTGCAGTAGGTAGTTCTTTCGCCTCACAGCAAGAAGGTCGCTGGGTCGAACCTCTGCTCAGTTGGTGTTTCTGTGTGGAGTTTGCATGTTCTCCCATGTTCGCGTGGGTTTCCTCCAGGTGCTCCGGTTTCCCCCACAGTCCAAAGACATGCGGTACAGGTGAATTGGGTAGGCTAAACTGTTCGTAGTGTATGAGTGTGTGTGTGTGTGTGTGTGAATGTGTGTGTCGATGTTTTCCAGAGATGGGTTGCGGCTGGAAAGGCATCCGCTGCATAAAAACTTGCTGGATAAATTGTCGGTTCATTCCGCTGTGGCGACCCCAGATTAATAAAGGGACTAAGCCGACAAGAAAATGAATGAATAGTAAGTTTAGAGGGGATCTTGTGTTGTAGTTTAGGTGGCTTTTGGTTTTGTTTAGTTCTTTGCTTTTGCTTTGGCACCCTGAAACTTTTGGTTTGATTGTATTTCTGTTTGCTTTTTTTATGCATTGTACAAAGCGCACACAAATAAGCCTCTCTTCCGTTGGCCTCATCTCTCTTTCCCTTATAGGAGGAATAAATGCAACCCAGGCTCATTCTGGAAACGTAGCCCCGCGGACGTTTCTGGAGACCGTGAAATACATCCTAGGCAGTTTTTGCAGATTTTGTTTTCACTAATCCGCGAGAGGACGATGTGCGCGCTTTTACGTTGCGAACACCTTTCGCGCACTGTTCGCGCCCGCGCTGCTCTCTCGTATAAAGCTGCCGGAGGATGATGTCGAGCGATTGTCTGTCTGACTGACTGACTGACTGAACGATTGACTGGGTGGCCAGCCAATCAGCCGACCCAGACACCCTCCTCCTCTTCCTTCCCTAAACCCAAGCGATGATTTACAAAAGCCGTCCAGTTAAAGAAAAGCCCTCATGCGATTTTGACCGCGTTTTCGGATTTCACCGCATTCTCGCCCCGTTACGAACCCGTTCGGTTTATTTTTTGGATTTTGTTTTTTTCGTCTTACCTAATTTCTGGAACCGCTCTTCACGGGGCTCGAACCCGGTCGTCGCCGCGGCCGGCTCCTCCTCTGGGTCTCCGCTCCGCCGACGTAACACGATGAGCTAACCAGACAAACTGGTTGCAGCGGGAAAGCCCTCCACAAGGAGGAGGTGAGCCGTCAGCCGGCGAGCGCGAAGAGGAGCGGCATCACACCGCCCTGTAGCGTTCACTTGAAAAAACTAAATGCAGCCATACGTACCTCCAGCTACGTAAATCGCGGTCTCCAGAAATGTCTGCACATCCATGTCTGCATAAACGAATTAATTGCTAAACTCGTGTCCTTGTGTATTTTCCATCCATCTACTCCAGTAATTATCTAATATTCTAAGTGTTACGTTTAATCTCCCTAGATAACTTATTAAATCGTAACATCTGGAAAATGCTTATTGATTTAAGAATTGTTAATGTTTGAACTAGAAACAAGACAAAAACAAAGTAAGAAAAGCATTTTTTGCAGTGTACGATATTCAACAGATTTCCCATGAGCCATCCAGCTGCTGCGAATAACTCCTGTCACACGCTCACAGTGTTCAACTACAGTAAAACAAGCTCTCCCTTGCCAACAATTACACTTTCACAGGAACAGAAACAGCAGAAATCTCTCTAAATTCAGTATTCAACTCAAGACGACCTCAGAAAACCAGACACAAAGACACTGATGTCACAGTTTGTGAGATTACGTCACGTAGTGAATCAAAGGACAACTTCATCCCAACTCATAATTTCACTAAATCAGCTCTTGGGATTTTTTGGCGGTCGTTTCAAAGGAAGAGAGCACTTGTGAAGAGATATTTGAATAATAAGACATTAAAAAAGGATGTTTTAGAGTACTTGCACTGTTTAATTCTCTGTCATTGGGACATTTATCATGATTTCGAGAGTCAGGGAATGGTAATATTTATGCAATACGTGTCAGCGATGTTTAACAAATGCTTTGACTTCCAACAAAGGGCTCTATCATGCAATCTCATTCATATCTATGCGTGCAGATTAATTAACAAGAATTAAGAGCAGCTGAAAGCAATTATAACTATAAAAACAAAAAATATCATCCTATCCTTGCACTTTATGCATAATTTAAAACAAAAAAAGAACCAAGGGAGATTTATACAAATACTCCTCATAACTTTCTGCATTTCACGTCTCACAAAGTCATAAAAAAACTCAATTTAACACAATTTCTCACCAAGTTGTATTTCTCTCTAAAAATCCTCACAATTCTTCATTTGAAATGTTTGTAATAAATAATAACTGCAGTTTTACTCAATACAAGTTGTCTCGTGGCTTTCCAAAACCTCTAATACAATTTTGTGACTAATTTTATGGTGTTTTTGTCCTGTTAAAACTTCAGAGCCTTCAATCTCTGCTTTTGTTTTCCGAAGAAGAACTAATTAATACAGTTTTTTAATGTATTATTATGATTTTTTGCATCCTCTTCTTTAAGAAAAACATCTTTTGTCAGGGTTCTGCCACTCTGGTCTTGTAAATTCTTGTTTTGGTGGCAGAGCTCGGACACTACCCATGTCTGGTCCTGTTTCTGTCTCTGTGCGCGCGCGCCGTCGTGGGTGTACGAAGAGTGTGCGCGCTCCTGCTTGACGCGGCAGAGCGCGCGCGCTCTTGTACTCGTGTTTGTGTTTTCGTCTGTCAGCAGCGTGGTGTTTCATTCCCAGCGTCTCAGTCTTGTTGGTTTCGGTTTTGGTCGTCGCTGGGATGAAGCATGCACGCTGCGTGTGTGAGCGCACGGTGAGTGTTTTCATTCATCGTGTGCTCGTGTCTTGCGTCTCTTGTCAAAGCACGTGGCTCGGTGTTTACATTGTGGTCACGTGCTTTTGTCGTGTGCTTCAGTGTTGTGTTATGTGAGCGCATGGCTTGTATTGTCTCTCTGTGTCATGCGCTCTCCCGTCTATTGTCTAGTCCCACCCTCCTTGTTTACTCATTATTAGTTTGTCATGTTCACCTGTGTGTCAATTTACTTTTTGCTTTATAATCCCCTCATGTTTTCAGTCCTTTGCCAGTTCGTCGTCGTTATTTTCATGTCCTGTGCTATCCAGTCCTGTTTGTCTTGCCAGCCCATCCAAGTTTGTTTGATTGTTTGTTTTATAGTTATGTTTTCCCCCTTGGGGTAGTTTTTGTTGTCCTTTTTGTTTTATTTTTATTATTAAATACCATCTTATGTTGCATTTGAGTCCTCGCTCCCTCATCCTTCCTGAAACCCTGACATCTTTGCCTTTAAATTCAGCCTACATCCATTGTCAACAAGAGTGTAAAACGGTGTCATAAATGATCATGCATTCAGACTCACATGTGCAGTGTTTTCCATCCGCGTCCAGTCTGTAATCAGGTCTGCAGCGACACTGGACATGACCCGCCGTCTGCTGGACACAGAAATGCTCACAGCCGCCATTCCCAACGCCGCAGGACTGAACAGCTAAACACAGAAGACAACACTGAGCTGCTATTGAATCAATCCAAGATCACATAAGTAATAATAATAAAGACCAAACTCTTTAATAAGTGTTTCAGTGTGTTCTATCAGAGCGATTCAATGTTGAGTTCAATGGACTTCTGCTGCATGAACAACTGTGACTCATTCATTTATTCATTTTCCTATAGCTTAGTCTCTATTTCAGAGGTTGCCACAGCGGAATGAACCGCCAACTATTCCGGCATGTTTTACACAACATATGCCATTTCAGCCGCAACCCAGTACTGGAAAACATCAATACACACTCATTCACACACACTCATACACTACGGCCAATTTCGTTTAGTCAATTCACCTATAGCGCATATGTTTGGACTGTGGGAAAACCTGAGCACCCGGAGAAAACCCATGCCAACATGGGGAGAACATGCAAACTCCACACAGAAATGCCAACTGGCACAGCCGGGACTCAAACCAGCAACCTTTGATTGACATTCTCCCTTTGTACGTGTCACCAGAGGGGGAAAGCCCCACCCACTAGTGACCATCTCTTCCTTATTAGCATAAGACATTAGTCTTGTTTTTGAATCTGCCACTATGCTGACACACAGGCATCTGTAGCTCTGCCCTCTTTCGAAAAGAGCACAATCTCATTTGAATTTAAAGCGACAGTCAACACAACACCACAATGCGCTTATTTCACGCGGCCGCGGACCTGCACTGTAAACATTGCAGCAACATGCTGTGGTCTACAAACCTCCAACTGTTGCAGAGATTAAAAAAAAAAACAGAAATGGTGTAAACATCACTTCAATATTATTCAGTAAGTTTAATTTAAACAATTAAAAGCAAATTAGGCATCAAACAACATCACAACCTCTGTAAGAGTAATATGCTCAAGTGTCCTCCAAGGCTTCAGTTCACGGCACCAGTTAAACACCGTGAGGACGCTTTCCTGCTTCAGCCTATAGCCCCTTTCACACATACAGACCTTTCCGGAAAATTGCCGGCAATTTTCCGGAAAGGTTGTATGTGTAAACAGGTCCATTTTGAAAATACCGGTAAATTTGTTCTGGCTATTTTCCGGAAAGAGAAGTTGTAACATTACTGGTAATTTGCCGGAATGCTGCGCTGTGTGAACGCAGAAGGAAGATTCCCGTAATAAGCGCGTGCACGTCTAGAACGTGCTGACGTGAGACGTCTGCTTTAGCCAATCACAACAGTCAGACGCATTTACGTCCGCGCGGTTTATGAGAATAAAAGCCTTTGAATATTTTTCCAGACACATTTAGCTGCTAGAAGTTAATCAGATCACGTTTATATGTTCTTCTTAATGCAAACTGTGTAAATAATCATTGATAAGATGCTTATGATAAGCCGTTGTTTGTTTACCTTCAAGCTTTGCGTGTGCGTGTGCCACATATTATGAACATCTCGACATGCGAAAGTGATCCTGCGAAAGTTGTTCACAATATTGATCATCCACAGAGTTTGTAATTTAGTCAAATGTTTACAAATACAAGCGCAGCCGTTTAAAGCTCATTTGTGGTGAATGATGTCAGAATGTACCGGTATTTTGGAATGGATGTGTGAATGCTCTTTTCCGGAAAATTTCCGTAACGTCCTCGCCTGTGTGAACAGCGCTTTTTTGAATATACCGGTAAAGTCGTTCCGGAAATTTTCCAGATATTTACCGGTATCACTGTGTGAAAGGGGCTTATGTAACCCGGTGAGCGATAAAACACTGCAGTCCTCTGTAGTACACCCTTGTGTTGTCTTTAATATGTTTGTCCTGGTACTGAAGTTTTAAAACCGGCAAACATTAAATCGTCGCTAAGCGTGGATGACTCGACTGATCTTCACGGCTGATCGCGATCCAGTCTCCATTATCTGTGTTTGCACTCAGTTTACTTCTCTTTACCCAGTGCAAACACAGATACACAGAGACTGGAGCGCGAAGCAGCCGTGAAGATGTCGAGTCATCAAGCAGATCGCTCGTCTGTGTTTGTGCTCGGTAAACAGCGGAGGGTGAACTGATGACCTTCTCGGCCAATCACAAGCATTTCTGTTGAGCATGTGAACACAATGGCAAATCAGCTCTGTTTTAAGAAAGCCATCAACAGTGCCTTAAATCTTCGCGGGAAATTGCAATTTTTTCTTTTAATTTAGTATCGTGACAAGTCTAATATAGTGACAGAATCAGTTCATTAACTCGAGTTTGATAAATAGAATCTAAAGCGTGTGTTTGGGAAAGAAAACGTTCACTAACTAGTGCCATTTCCCTTAACTTAGCTGAAAATAAGCTCTGATATCCCTTTTATTTTCACTATTCATTCAGAACGGACCTTCGGGTCTCTCGGAAGGCGGTGAAATAATACATTTGTGTCACTTTCTCTTTGCTGATAAGATATTCAGCCAAGTACACAACGTTCCTATGTAACGCCCAACGATACTTCCGGGTTTCTTCCCACCGCAGCCTCGACTTCGCTTTTAAAAATGGCGGCCGCGTGAATTCGAATTTTATGCATTTGATTTTTGGTTATGTTCTCCCCCGCTCTTTAGCGGGATCGGGCGGGTCGGGCACCGGGACAACAAATTCTTCATATAAGCGGGAGCGGTCGGGTTCAGGCTAAACCTGGCGCGGGCGGAAGCGGGAGCGTTGTCGTCCGGAGGTGTGTGTGTGTTTTTGTGTGTGTGTGGCAGCTAAAGTCCACGCCTACACTATCGAGCGTGTATGAACTGTGATTACTTTTTATATTGCTGATTAGCTATTGGGCATTTCACTCTCTGACTGAAGGCAGTCGGCCAATCGCGACAGACTGTCATCAGTCCAATCAGCGCAGATTAGCTTCGCGCTAAGGAGGGGTTTGGGAACAAATGAATCACTGGACGATTCATACAGGAGTCGCTGGGATAATTAGGTAAAAATAAATGCAGATTATAAGACCATGAAAGTGTTTTTTGACCTTGCATGTATATTAAACTGTTGTTGGAGACCCTTATGGGCTCTTTAAAACCGGCAAACATTGAAGCGTCGCTAAGCGTGGATGACTCGACTGATCTTCACGGCTGATCGCGCTCCAGTCTCCATTATCTGTGTTTGCACTCAGTTTACTGCTCTTCACCCAGTGCAAACACAGATACACAGAGACTGGAGCGCGAAGCAGCCGTGAAGATGTCGAGTCATCAAGCAGATCGCTCGTCTGTGTTTGTGCTCGGTAAACAGCGGAGGGTGAACTGATGACCTTCTCGGCCAATCACAAGCATTTCTGTTGAGCATGTGAACACAATGGCAAATCAGCTCTGTTTTAAGAAAGCCATCAACAGTGCCCTAAATCTTCGCGGGAAATTGCAGTTTTTTCTTTTAATTTAGTATCGTGACAAGTCTAATATAGTGACAGAATCAGTTCATTAACTCGAGTTTGATAAATAGAATCTAAAGCATGTGTTTGGGAAAGAAAATGTTCGCTAACTAGTGCCATTTTCCTTAACTTAGCTGAAAATGAGCTCTGATATCCCTTTTATTTTCACTATTCATTCAGAACGGACCTTCGGGTCTCTCGGAAGGCGGTGAAATAATACATTTGTGTCACTTTCTCTTTGCTGGTAAGATATTCAGCCAAGTACACAACGTCCCTATGCAACTCCCAACGGTACTTCCGGGTTTCTTCCCACCGCAGCCTCGACTTCGCTTTTAAAAATGGCGGCCGCGTGAATTCAGTCTATAAGGATTAAAGCCTGAAAGGGTCAGTTTCAATGAGTTAAAAAAACATTATCTGTGTGGTATTTTGAGCTGAAACTTCCCACACACACTCTAGAAACATCATAGACTTATTCTACATCTTGTGAAAGGGGGCACAATAGGTCCCAATGCATAAACTTCATGTGTTTTGATATCGGAGTGAAATGTAGGCCGGTGTTTGCTTTGGCTGAAGGTGTGTTTTACCGATGCAGGTGCGTCCGTCCACATGCAGTCGAGAGCCGGCGTTACACTGGCAGTGATACGAACCCCTAGTGTTCACACATGTGTGCTGGCAGCCGCCGTTATGAACCTGGCACTCGTCAATATCTGCACAGAAACACATATAAACACTGTTTAATATTGCTCGATGAAACATTCATCAGATTTAGTTCAGATCTGGTACCAGTATGCTGTTATTCCCTCTAAATCAAGCACATTCAAAGCACAATCTGCCTGGGGTAAAAATGAGTGACATCATGAGTAAATATCCAGACTCGTCTTGAATAAACTCAAGCTGTGCGATCGCAAACAAACAAAGAGAAGTGGCTGATGGTTTCACATGCTTGCCGTGATGGAACAAGCCACAAAAAAGGGAAAAGAAGTACATTTACGGTTCACTGAAATGTTGTAGGCTCTCAAACAGCTTTCAATGCTTTGCTGCCCACCGAGATCAGAGCTAATAGAGTCACGGCCTGTTGAAAAACACACTGTAACTGCTCTGAGATCAGATTCAGACACACATGCCTCAATAATGTTGATAAACTAATGTGGCTTTCCCATATCGCTTGACTTCACGCGTCTATTTAATGTGTATGAACAGTACATTGTAAAAAGTTATTTGCAAATTAGCAGTTTTTCATATTTTGTGGTTCATTTTTTATTTTTTGTCTTCTCCCGATTGTGTTTTTTTCTAATTGTATTGAATGAAATTGTTAAAATATACATCTTGAATGACCAGAGGGGTGTGTAAATCCATCAAAAATATTCATTTTTAAGTGAACTATTCATTTACACTCACTGGCCACTTTATTAGGTATACCTGTCCAGATGCTCGCTAACGCAACTTTCTAATCAGCCAATCACATGGCAGCAACTCAATGCATTTACGCTTGTAGACATGGTCGAGATGATCTGCTGCAGTTCTAACCGAGCATCAGAATGGGGAAGAAGGGTGATTTAAGTGACTTTGAACGTGGCATGGTTGTTGGTGCCAGACGGCTTGTCTGAGTATTTCAGAAACTGCTTATCTACTGGGATTTTCACGCACAACCATCTTTAGGGTTTACAGAGAATGATCTGAAAAAGAGAAAATTTCCAGTGAACGGCAGTTCTGTGGGCACAAATGCCTGGATGATGCCAGAGGTTAGAGGAGAATGGCCAGACTGGTTCCAGCTGATAGAAAGGCAACAGTAACTCAAATAAGCACTCGTTACAACCGAGGTCTGCAGAAGAGAATCTCTGAACACACAACACATCCAAGCTTGAGGCGGATGGTCTACAGCAGCAGAAGACCACACCGGGTGCCACTCTTATCACCTAAGAACAGGAAACTGAGGCTACAATTCACACAGGCTCTGTCTGGAAACTAGACAGAGAGGATCCAGTTGCAAGTGTTTTAATGAAAAATGAAATAATGTATCATATTATACAACTGGATGTTCCGGAGACAAAGAAATGTTCAAAACAAAAGAGAGCCCACAGGCCACAACGATGACGTCAACCGACGAAACAGACTGCGAAGAATCCTGAGGACCAACAGACAGGAACAAGGACAAACAACGGACTGATGACCAGCACTAACCACAGGCTGAAATATATAGTGAGTAAACAGGGATCAGCTGGAGGATGATTAAGTCAGCTGATTCGAAAGCACGGCGTCAACACAAAAGGTAAACATGCACACAACCTCGCACACGACAACCCACAAGGCATGACACATAACATACAGAAAGAATACACAAACCCATCAACCGTGACAGGCTCGCCAAAACCGAACAATAGAAGATTGGAGAAATGTTGCCTGCCCTGATGAGTCTCCATTTCTGCTGCGACATTAGGATGGTCGGGTCCGAATTTGGCGTCAACAACATGAAAGCATGGAACCATCCTGCCTTACATCAACAGTTCAGGCTGGTGGTGGTGGTGTAATGATGTGGGGGATATTTTCTTGGCACACTTTGTGCTTATTAGTACCAATTGAGCATCATTTCAACGCCACAGCCTACCTGAGTATTGTTGCTGACCATGTCCATCCCTTTATGACCACAGTGTACTCATCTTCTGATGGCTACTTCCAGCAGGATAACACACCATGTCATAAAGCGTGAATCATCTCAGACTAGTTTCTTGAACATGACAATGAGTTCACTGTACTCAAACGGCCTCCACAGTCACAAGATCTCAATCCAATAGAGCACCTTTGGGATGTGGTGGAACGGGAGCTCCGCATCATGGATGTGCAGCCGTCAAATCTGCAGCTATTGTGTGATGCTATCATGTCAATATGGAGCAAAACCTCTGAGGAATATTTCCAGTACCTTGTTGACTCTCTGCCACGAAGGATTAATGCAGTTCTGAAGGCAAAAGGGGGTCCAACCCTAGATTGCAGGAGCACACATTTTAATAAATATATTTTGAAATATGCTGATGACACTGCCATTTTAAGTCTCTCACACAAAGATATGGACCTATCATCTTACCACAGTGAAATCGATCGTTTCACTCAGTGGTGTGATAAGAACTGTCTTGTGTTAAATATAAAAAAGACACAAGAAATGGTCCTTGACCCACGAAGTGTTTCTGAACACAGGCCTGGTATCATTAAAGACACAGTGATACAGCAAGTCACATCTTACAAATACCTGGAGTTTTATATGGACAGTGTTTTTTGTTGGAGAACACACATTGAGAGTTTATGCACACAACTACAACAGAGGCTTTATTTCTTAAGAAGGCTGAGATTGTATGGGGTGGGTAGCCATATCTTGCTTGTTTTTTACCGAGCTATGTTTAAGAGTCTTATTCGCTATGGAATCACAGTCTGGTTTGGAAACCTGTCTGTTCAGTTGAAAAATAAATTGGTTCATATGCAAAAAAACAGCCATGAAAATTATAGGGATAAAACAATATGAGCCCATCCAGACTCTATACGAACAGGCGGCTATGAAAAGAGAGATACATATTAGAGCTAATTCTAAACATCCTCTTTTCAGTGAATACCAGCTGTTACCAACAGGAAAAAGACTGAGAATGCAAATGTGTAAAACTAATAGATTGAAGCTCTCGTTTGTTTCTACCTCAATAAAACTGTTGAACTCCACCAATAACACTGCTCCTGTAGTACGCTAGTACTTGACTGGGTTCTGTGTTTTATATATTTATACTTATATACGGTCTAATTCTGTAAACAATGTATGTTCTGAACTGTTTGTTCTTAATTGTTTTGTTTTATTTATTTTTACTGTCTGTTTAGACAATGTTGTAGCACCTTTTTTGCCCAAGACAAATTTACTCTCGGGGACAAATAAAGTTTAACCTAACCTAGTACGGTGTACCTAATAAAGTGGCCGGTCAATGTGTATAATGTGTCGTTTGTTTCAAAGAAGTCAGCTCTAGAATAAACGTTTCATGCCACATTTTTGATGCCTGATTCAGAACAAATAAACACAGGAGCGCTCAAGTCTTGCTGATTTGACCATAAAGATCATGAGCAGGGTGGATTGTGCTGTCCAGCTGAGAAGAAAAAATCAACTGGATCCGTTCGACTCCACAGCAGCTCTCTTTAGCTTTCTCTGCCAATAAAACCTGAGAGACGCAGCCAATGCAAACGCCACACACTCCAAAATGAACAACTGTTCTTGGTGTCGGTGTGACCTTTGACCCGTTTTAACACTAATGACCCGCTCTGTGTTACTGTCACCTCATGACAACACTGCAGGAGAGCTTTCATTGGCCACTTTTACATTAATCTCTGGAATTCTCTAATAGGAGCCAAATGGAGAATACAGTCTTCCTTTACTGAGATGCAAGTGTGAGTGTGATTGAATAGGGTTTTTTAAAAATGTGGTAACAATTATTTGATACACCACCGGCTGGGCTCAATTTGGGTGTATGTGGGTATTTATGGCACTATAGGATAGCTGGCACTAAAGAGTACATAGACAGTAATCTGATAATGGGAAGCAGATGCATGTTTACCTGCATGGAATCTTAATTACTGACGGAGACGAAGGAGGCCATAATAATCACAGGCTTCCTTCCTGCACAGCATGACAGAATTTTTATATATTTTACAAACATAGAGTACACATGCATACATATATATATATATATATATAATTTATTTATTTATATATTTATATATTCAACATTTCTGAGTGAATATAAAGTAGGTTTTGGTGCATATTAAATAGTTAAATTCATTACAATAAAAGTTTGGTCCCCTGTAACATCTGTAGGAAGAAACTAAATACATATAAATTTGTTGAAATATTGCAAAAAAAATTGTAAGAACTACAAAATTTTATATTTTCATTGCTTATCTTGATTTTTCCTCTTTATTAAAATTGCATTTAATATATTCCTTAACATTAATTTGGGTGTAATAAAAATTTTAAATAATATATATATATATATAATTATTATTCTATTTTACTTTTTTTTTGCTATCTGACACATCAACTTTATGGTTTAAGGCAGCAAAACAGAACATTTATTTTATGCATTTGGCAGATGCACATTTAAAATAAAATAAAATAAAATAAATAATAATTAATATTAAATTAATAATTAAATTAAATTAAATTAAATTAAATTAAATTAAATTAAATTAAATTAAATTAAATTAAATTAAATTAAATTAAATTAAATTAAATTAAATTCACAATGAAATATTTTTGGGTGTGGCATTTTAGTGATTTATATTTAAACCTGCATTATTTTATATTAGAAAGGCAAAGGTTAATGTCAAAATTTAAATTTATTCAAAATTTGGAACACAATTTCTCCATACAAATTGGCCCAAAAAAAGATAAAGGGTTAAATAAGCAAAAACTTTTATTGTTTCAATTATAATTTGAGAAGATAATCTGTGATTGGAAAATAAAAACAGTGTCCCTGAAATTAGCCCATCTCAAATGGGGTCAGGCCCCCAAGATCTTTTATAGTCACTCCTGCGGTCGGTCTCTGAGGTATTTTGGCAAAGACCTTTTAGCCATTCCTAGAAAACGTCTTAAGACTAAAGGTGACCGTGTTGTGGCCCCAAGGCTCTGGAACTGAAACTTCTGTGCCTCTAACACTGAAAACTCTGGGATCAGTTGAACGTTTTA